GCTTATTTTATGTGTACCCTGAGCTGTTGCATATTGTTTTTCTTTATTCATGTAAGCTAAAATTTCTGTATACCAAATTTTTGTTTTCAATTTTCCATTGTAAACTTAATATATAATTTTTATAGTATAAGGCTCTATACTAAATAGTCCTTTATATACTACATACTCAATTACTTTACTAAGTAAATATTAGAAAATATTTTACCATACATACAACACTAACAATTTTTAATTCATTCTCTGAAACATTTTAAATAAATATACTTTGAGGATTCTTATACATTAACAATAATACTTACAATTAACTATCAGAAAAAAACGGTCTTCTATAATGAAGCCCTCATTTATCTAATCTCTGACCCTGTGACTCATTAACAGTCTTTAAAAAAAGCTAGAACTAATAAATACTCTTTTCCATGTAACAAGAACGATGAAGATAGACTGCTGCTGGTATTTCATACAATTCTCGGTATAAATACCGTTACGCTGAACTCGTCTCATGTTCTTATTTGTGCTCTATTTATAGCGATGGAATAATTTTGTATGCCTAATTTTGTGCCATTGTATAAGCCATTAGCTACACTTGAATTTCGTATTAACATAACAATTGAATCTTCTTTTTGTTTTAGAATGTGTGGTGATTTATTGTTTGTAAATAATATTTACAGTTTTTATTAAAAAATTAATATCTATATCATCACCAGTGTAGTTGCTACCTTAATCCTTGGCATAAGCTGTACTATACTACGTATATTCTCTATCTGTGACTAAACTTAGAATTTTATTATTCAAGATATACGAGAGTTGGTTGTAAGTCATTAAAATATCTTTGTTAAGGTATGTAAGTATATGTCTATTTTGTACAAAATTACTTTCTTGGAACGACCTGGACCATTAATAAAACACAATTTTTTTATGGTACCTATTTTAGAAAGCAATAGTCTTTGGCCACTGTATTATTTAATAAATAAATTATTGAATTCATTTTGAATATTTACAATGTTCTCACTTTTATAAATTTTTAAGCAATCTATTGTTCTAGTTAGTTTTGGTAATTAGTAAGCTTTCAATAATTTTTATTAAAAACTGAAGATCTTATTTGAATGTGATAACGCTAAATTTTTTTTGGGTTCCTCCAAATCTTTAATAAAAAATTTTTTGAATTTTTCTAATATTTTTTTTTAACGTATATTTTTAGACATGTAATACTAATAAAAAAATTGTTTTTAATGGGACGAAAGCATAATGTTGCAAGCCTCTTGAAAAATTTCATCAACTTGAGAATCGTATTTAATCAAAGTGCAGCTAACAGCAGCGTCATTAAAGGTTTTGTAATTTTGACCATTGACTATCTTCAACATTTTGGAAGATTCTGATCTATTAACACTATTTAGCATTAATTAGAAGAAAATTTTCAGAATCCTTAGAAGACACTCTATTTGTTAAAAATAAAATGATAATATTCTAAAATGTAAGTGTAGTAACTTCTCTTCTTGTAGTAATTTTATAGATATAACGTAAGCCGTGCTATTAGTGCTGTTTCAAAATTTTTTAAGGCTTAAAAAAAATTTTTTTATTGAAAAACATTTCTTGTGTATCTTCAATATAAACTGGCAAGTTAAGCACAGAATGACCACAACTACAAAGAGATAACTCTTGCAATTACGTGCAATGACCATTCTGCTTCTATACTGCCATTAAGATTAAAAAGCGGCCATCCACGTATTCCAATACTGTCCCTTTTACCTTATTTTTAATTTTTACAAAATGCTCATTCCCTTTTTCATACATATTATCAAGAATATACTTGATTCTTTGAATGAGTACATAATATTTAACATTTATACGACAGTTACATTTTTCTATTAACAATTTACGATATAATACGAGCACTAAGATACCTTCTACAATTTTCTCATTACTAATCTTTATTTCAGAAATATCATTATCACACCTAGTGTCACTATTTTTGTGGTCTGGATGTCTATTTTTTTTAACTGTATATTTAATGAACGTTCAAAAAATTTCCTTGTACATTCAATTTGATTACGCATGCTACATGGGCTATATTTGTTACGAGGACTATGTAGCATCTATTAAATAAAATTTCAAAGTGAAAAAAAAGAATTGCATTAAAAATAAATTGAAGAAAAAAAAATGACGAAATGAAATATGGAAAAAAAATAAAATGAAATCAAAAAAGACATGAAAAAATACAGTGGAATGAAAAAAAAAAGTAAAATAAAACAAGCAAAGAAAAATAGAAGATTAAATAGAAAAAATAGAAAATAAAAAAAAATAAATAAAATAAAGAAAATCAAGTAGNAAAAAATCAATTTAAAAGAAACAAACCAGGGGGTATGAATGGGTCATGGGACCCACGGTAAGAACGAAGCTCTTTAAATATGAGATGAGTATAAAGACACACAATTTCTCAGGTAACAAGGGGGTTGCCAGACCCATAGGAAGAACGAAGCTCTATAAAAATAAGTACTGCATTCATGTAGTTCACTAAAACATTAACTTGAAAAACGAATTAAAAAAAAAATAAGAAAATTTAGTTCAGTATTCACGATAGTTGAACTTTGTGAGTGCTGTATTTATTTATGACGTGCTTATTATTTAAGACAAATATTAAATTTGTCTTGACGATTCCCAACTATTTTACGAATATGAGCAGTTCAGCATGCCATAGATTTTGGCCCATGATGTAACAATTGCAAAGTTTGACATCCTGATGCTGTCAAAACACGTCATTTAAGAACTTGTTGATTATTTGAACGGTACAAAAATAAAACTACTGTATAAGATGTTTTCTAAACGAATAATAACCTGCTATTTGAAGCTCCTTTTATCAGTGACAAGGTCTTTCTTTTTAGGGACACACTTAGAACAGTATATGACAAACACGCCCCATACTGCAAGTTTAAAGCTAGGACACGCCGTACGTCATGAATCACTCCAGATATCAGAGACCTGATAAAGAAGCGTAACTGAGTCTAGTGCAAGTAAAAACGCAATCACTTTGATGAGCACATTAGTAAGTGTAAAATGTTACGCAATACAATCAAAATTATTATTTGGGATGCCATGCTGAAGTACCATCGTGGTAGATTCCTCAGATGCTCCACCACTGCTAAGTTCTGGCCAGTCATGAGGTCCATTGATCTTTATGGACGTACCAACGCTTGTAGTACTCATAGACTGCCTATTCAATTCCTTAAATCGTACCTCCCTGCTATTATGCCTATTATCTTCTATTTATTTGATACTTTTTTGAAATCAGAGGGTTTTCCCACTTCATAGAAGTATGTAACTATAGTCATTTCGATACCTACGAAAGGTAAGGCCAAAAACTTCCAAACCATCAGTATTTCATCAGCTCCCTGGAAGACACTCGAGTCAGTAGCACCCGAATAAATGACTCACTTTATTATAAGCAGAAATATCCTTGACAAACACTAGTCAAACTATAAAACTAGGCACAGCACACATATTTTACTAACTAATATTGTTAATGATGTGCAAAGTGCTATGGAGAGAGATCCAGTCACTTTACGTGTAGCCATTGACCAGGATTGTAGTTTTTTTCGGTTGACTTAAAACTGTTACTTAATAAGCTAGATAGCAATGGTTGCTTAGATTATGCTATTAAATAGAGAAAAGTAAGCTTGTCAGATTACAATTCAACTCTGTGATCTTCAGATAATGAACTTTCACAGACTCTCTATCGTCAATGAAAAGTACCACAAGGAAGCTTACTCGACCGTCTACTATTTAAAATCTACATTAATGATCTGCTTTCTGTTTGCAACAATTGTTCCTACCATATTTATGCTAACGAATCTTGTTTTTATCTGCAGCTCAATATCAGTGATGCTAAGCACCTGGTTGAACGAGCTAACTACATCCTATCCAGCATTTTCCAGTGGTCTGAACAAAATGTACTTATTGTCAACATTCTAAAATCTGTTAGCATCTGGCTTGGTATTTGTGGACTTACAAATAGAGTGACAGGTCTGCTTCTAAAATTACTGATGAATAAAACTATAATCAAATACAGTGATTTAGCAAACTGCTTGGAGTCACTTTTGATTTATCCCTAATTTAGAGACCTCACTGTATCTCAGTTGCTGTAGACTGTCACTCTGTTTTAGTTCCACTTAAATGCCTTAATCATGGCAAGCCCAAATATACGAAACTACTACATACTTAGTCTCTCATATTCTATTGGTAAGTAGCAGAGCTTTATACAGTATGCTCTATTAGCAAACATTTTTAAATAAGGAGAGCCCTCTTATCTAGCAGCGAGAGTTTAATTCGCTCTGTCGATCTTCAAAAGTTGACTCCTGGATCTCATTTGTTTACGTGACGATCGATTGTGCGATGCGAAGTCTTCAGTTTTATTAATTTTTGAAATTACTTTAAGAAATTTTAAACGTATTTACTATGGATTCTGTATTAGCTATTTCGCTGTTCCTTAGGAGTTATTGGTAAATTGCTGCTGCACAGCATCATTATAACAATTTTAGAAGCTATTATGGACCCAAGGCACTTTGCCTAATAAGTATCTACTCTACTCTACTCTACTTTGTTTCCCTCTTTCTCTCTCATTAAGCTTAATTGTTCTTGAATCATTTTACTGCTTTTGAAGACTATATATAAGGTCAGAAGTTTCTGATGGTTATGGTTTTCTTATATGAATGCCATGACCAGTGCTCTTGTCTCACAACTCTTTAGTATGAATAAACCTTGTTAACATAAGCTGTAAATAAACAGCATTGTTATGCGAAAGATCTTTAGAAAAAGTCTTATGGACACATAGATTTGTTAACTCACAATAGGCACGTATATACTAATGTACACCATAATGTTGGTATTAAAATACTAATTGATTAGCCTTACATCACAAAAAATGTTTTAAATAGTTTTTTTTTTACTTTATTTGAATTAAACGTTTCTGTGCATTTCACAGTGATAACATTCTATTTATTTTACAGGATACGCATTAGAGACATAAATGAGGCTCTTAAGGAACTTGGTAGGATGTGCATGGCTCATATGAAATCAGAAAAACCTCAAACCAAGCTTGGGATCCTAAATATGGCTGTTGAAGTAATAATGGCATTGGAACAACAAGTTCGAGGTAAGCACACATTGCTCCTTTTTAGTTTGCAAGGAGCTGAAGATTTCTTATAAAATGGTCAAAGGAGTGACACCCACATGGTATATTAACTAATCACAAACTGATTTAAATGTGACATGTGTAAGATTATCGTTAATGAAAAGAAGTTTAAAAGAAATTTGTAACAAACCTCATTTTTTTTCTTGTTTTTTTCTCTGCCCTACAAGTTTTCGTTACTTAAAAAAAAAAAAAAAAAAATTACAAATTATAAGCAATATATCTAATTTAAAAAATACGTGAGAAATACAATTTTTAGTGATGCTTGACGCACTCATCAACTGAAAAAACAGCATACTAGTAAATGAAAAGTTATGGACATCAAATATTTTAGTGACTGTCCTGAAAGATAGAAAAATAAAAAGTTCCTTATAATACTCAAAAGTGATAGTTAGTGGTAGATTTTTTATTAACGTTGTAGCTAAAGACTGCTTTATCTGAGAAGTTGAAAACTTCGCTTTAAAATATGAGTTACCTGTCTTTATAAATTACTCAATCTGCTTAGCACAATGGTTGTATTGGTAATGATTCAAAATTTTCTTAAAAGGAAACTTCTTACTGTCTTGTGCTAGCTCCTTGGTTAATGAATGGAATGGTCAATATCAAGAACTTTAATGAACTGTTTACTTATCCGAGAACGTTCGTCTCTTGATATTATAAATTAATGCGTGCGTAAATATTATATAATAATGTTAACGTAAGTGAATTTAATTAGATACTTCAGGTTAGATATCAATTATGATTCCGTAATTTTTTTAGGTATAAGAAGGAGTATGTATCTGACGTATTCTTTAACATCAAGTCAAATATAAAAAATGTATTCATCGTAGTGTTGTATTCTGTAGAAATATTTACTCGCTGTAATCGCTACGTACGTTAAAAAAAAGAAATACATGACAACAAAATATTATGTCCTTCATACCTCTATAAGATTTTACTAATAAGTCCATACGCGTTTATGAAGCCAAGAAGCAACTTACAACGTTGGCTCATAATCACAATTTTAACGATATGGATAAGATTGTGGAATAAGATTTTCAAACAGTATATTCTCTGCATCTATCATGAGAGATCAATTACGAATGATTTAAGCTTAGCGTCAGAAATAAGACAGTAATATTTATTAAACTCTACCCTTGAGAAAGAAACCTTTTTGAATTAGTACTTCTGTAAATGCGTTACGTGTACAATTAAATCCTTAATATCAGAATTCTTACCTTAAAAAAATATGCAATGGAAGAAGATTTTGACCCTACGTCCCAACTCCCTCGCCATACCTTATTGCGCTAGTCTCCTTCACATCACGCTCTGCCACTCCGTACAGCATAGCGCAGCAAATGCTTTAAATTTTATTGAATTCTATTTCTTATTTATCAATTAACTCTCTTCAAGAAGAAAAAACACTTAACTTGAAACCTAACCCCGTGATCTTCTACACGTAAACTAAGGCCCTTACCAACTCTTATATCGACGCTCCCGATATTAGAAACTTGATAACTTCTTGAAATCCATTGGATAACTCCTGGAAACTACAAACATTTCAAATAATTAGAAGTTATCAAAATGAAATTGTTTATCTGATTAATTGATGCTATTATCTGTTGAGATAAAAAAAAATTTAATTTTTAGAAAGCCTACATATTCTAGCAGGTATTTAAACTTTTAGTCACATTACAAAACTTCTTACAAAATCGATATCATTTATACCTTAGGAGAGTAAGGCATTAATTATGAGATAAAAAATTTTATTTTGATAAGCTGCAGTTAATTGAAAATTTCTAACTTGCTAATGATGATTCAATTGATTTTATAGAAAAATACAAAAAAAGGGATTAAAAAGTAATTATAACAGTGATAGCAATAACAATTATAATCAGGTTCAGTCATCTAATAAACTTTTTTTTGTAGGCTATATGGTACTAATTTAAAAGGTATTAACTAAAAATGTTGTAATAAAAATGATATTAAAGTTAACATCAGTGTCAATAACATGTTAAATTATATAATTATAGTTAGTAAAGATAAGACTGAGCATCTTGATTAAAAAGTTGTATATTACACTTCCTGCGGGAATTGTAATAACTGTTACATATACAAAACATCAAAGTCTTTAAAAACTAGACCTAAAGAACATAAAAGAGATATTTAAATTTTTAATTATAATTCAGATTATATAAGTATAGTAATAATCTCGGATACAACCTTAATTTCAATAAAGTTTACATATTTGATGTTAAACTGAATATAAAAAAAGACTTTATTCAGATATAATTGATATTATACAAATAATATCAATACAAAAAGTGTCACTGACGAGTAGAAGAATTGTTATGATGCAATTGAGTGATCAGGAGTAGTTAACAAAAAGTTGTTCTTCTGATGGATGATATGCTTTGTACTAGCTCGGGATATATTGGCCTTATAAGTAAGCTTTTGTACACCACTACATCGTAATATTTTTGTAGAGGTTTTAAATGTTTTGCATGATCAATGACGTATTTTACATGTGTGCTACTATCAGCACTTGGGCCATTATTTGTGTACGATCACCTATGCATGTATATGTATCAGCTAAATCCGCTATGTGTCACAATTTATACTGCTGCCCTCGTGGTCACCTATGAAAATAAATTAACGGATGTAGATAAATCCAGGTCATACTACACAGAACGGAAAAAAATTATGTCAATAAAACTAATAATTGGGTATTCATTTAGGAGCAACCAAATTGTTATGACTGCAAAAGAAGTATTATGTGTAATGGAAAAGAAGTATTATTTTGCCTAACCGTATCATATAATTACAATAAGAACTAAATTTCTACTCCTTTTTTAAGGTTTTGTGCTTTGAGTGCTAAGTTGACAACAATGTAGATCACCGTAATAATGGCAAAAAAGTTTGTATGCAGATGCAAGGTTAAATTTCTTGAGATTTCTAACATGATTCAGATAAATTTTATCTCATTCGGCTTGGACCTAAAATCATATGACCTTTAAAAAAGGGAGAAAGTTTTGTTTATTGTAAGATGCAATTTAACAAATTTTTTTTTCTTTTTTATATACTCAACAATTCTCGTTATAGTAAAAATAATCTAATTACTGATGTATAAGTACATAATTATCGATTTTTATGGTTTTTTTTTTGTTTTCTCTGACTCTGTGTATGTAGCTTTAATACATGATATAGTTACAAAGACATCTGGAGGAAATGTTTTTATTTCTATAAAAGATTGTCAACGTTCCACCCCTAAAGAGGCCTCATCAGGATACATTAACCTGAACATTATGAATAATAAATTAGTAGTATAGAATTTTTTTCTCTCAATTAAACGACAAAGCTGAAATTATGTCAATATACTATCGATACAGCCCACCTGTGTAAGTGTCTTAAGCAACCCCCATAATTCGTCATTGCCATTAAAACTTTAACTTACATATTTATTTCTTGAAATAATTATGTATGTGTCAGAAAAAAAAGAAAATCTAAGTGTACAATTTTGTAAATAAATATAATAAAATTAACAGTTAATGATTTAGTTGCACTGACCATACATATCTTTAAATAACTTTCTCACACCAAATATACACAAAGATAATCCACAGCGATGTCATCACCAGACTAAAAAATTGCTATAGACATGGCGGGTCAAACTACCTGACCGATTATAAGTCACTGTCATAGACTAATCTCTTACATAGACTATCAACACATAATAAATGTCATCGAATTTATTATCACGTACAGTTAATTTTGTAAGTTTACGAAATGGTAAGCCAGTCATCTTTCCCGTTGGTAGCACGTCTACAGTTCTAACTATGCAACATCCCATATACAACCGCGCATAAAGATGTACTACATGTCTGATACAGCCAGTGAGTTTACTGTATAAAAGTGTAAAGTAAAGCCTTGAATAAAATGTTTTGTACATATATTTTATAAGAGTTTTGTACGATTTAAATAAGTGTTATTAAAGTCCGATTTAAAGTGTGCGTTATAGACTGTACAAGGGTTTCGTTCAGGGCAGCAGTGCTGAGGCGATAATGTTGCCGTCAACACACACATTGCCTTTAGAAGCATCAGATTACTCTTTTGTCAATGTCATCATAAGCTTTGCAATGTAAATCGAAGTAAACATTACCAGTAGTTAATTTTTTATTCAACCTAATAACTTATTATTTTTTTAAATAATATAGACATAGCAACTTACGGCTCAATCTAAGAGTTCATTTAATTAAACACTTTCTTTACTGTTATATACTGTAGAAATTGTTCATATCTATTATTTTTGTATACTATGCTTTACCTAAACATATAAATAGGAGTATATATGTATTTAAAAGTTTAAAATATGCTACAATAAGAGCAATGGTTAGAAATCACTCTGACTTCAAAAACAAAAGTTTCGCTTACTTTCGTAAAATTAACCTGTTAAATACGTGTAATACTTGAAATATTTAGTAATTAAAGACTCAAGATAAAATATAATACGTAAGCTCCTAAATATCTTTTATTAATTAAAGAAAAAAGGTTCCATAATTTGGCTATTAAAAAATTTAATTTTTCTGTGATGTTTAATCAACAATTCTCACAAAAAAGTACTTTTATGTTATTAAAAGCAATATCTGACAAAAATAAAAATATTATGCGATTGCTATTACTAAAGGCAACCATTAAAACTTATGCATTTATCAACCTATTACTGTGTAAGTAGTTGGTTCACAGTAAGTCTAAGGCAAGTTCTTACCATACCAATAATAATAGCATATAAAAGCAGAGTAAGACAATAATACAGATCTGTTAAACGTGAAATTTTTTGAAACAGCTGTAGAATGTAATGAACAATTACTTCTCTAACACTTAATTAAAACTTTTTAAGTACATTACTAATGTTTCTTGAGGTTATACTATTATGGAGTGCTACCGAAGCGGATTGCTCGAGGCGGAATTTTCAACCTCGACTGGGC